ATGTATGTATGTATAAATTAGAACTGTTATTAGACATACTGCATAATGGCACTGTTAAACAAAATAAAAAATTTTAATCTCTTATAAATATGTACTCACTTTTCAAAAGTTATTTTATCTTCCTATTTGATGTATTTACCTTTAAAAGTATTCTTGTCAAATACAATTTTTTCTCGTGTTCAAAAAAGATGACTATTTTATTCAATTTGTAATGATTTCAAGTGATGAAATGATTGAAATTGGTTTGCCCTTTAAAAAAAATCATCATATCACTTTTTATTGCAAAAGGTGAACTTTTCGAGTAACTTTGTCTGCTTTGTTATCACCTGTTAGTTTTCCACGTGTTTCTTAAAACTATAGTTGAATATTCTTAGAAGATCTTTAACATCATGAGGAATTCTTTAAGAGCAGTTTTTATATATGTATGTAGTAATGATTTTAGGGTAAGCAGTTTATGACAGTTTAAGTGTCAAATCAAATGTATTTTTTACCAGCCAGCAAAAAAAAAAAAGAAAAAGAAAAAGAAGAAGAAGCATTTTGTATCCTATTTTACGTAGTTCTCCCCTAATCGATTAACTAGTGGGAAAATTTTCAGAGACCTGAATTTAGTCAAGAGACCTGGAAACTAGTTTTTGGTTAGCCATCTGTGACCCTGAGAAAGTTATTTAACAATTTAGGTTCTCTGTTTTCTTATGAAAAACGTAGAGGATTACACTGGTAAGATCTAATGTCACTTTCAGCGCCAATATTTTATAGTTTTATTGTTTTATTACAGATAGAGACAGACAGACTTTTCCTCTTTCTCAGTTAAAGAAAGAGAATTGGGATCGAGGTGATGCAGGTCTTTAAAGCAGAAAGAAAAGACAATGAAGAAAGTTAAGAGAAGGGTAGGAGCGAAGCCTCCCATAAATCGCAAACTATAGGGAATAATAAACGAACCGGTTCCAAGTTACTCTGCTTTTTTAAAAAATTCTTTCAGACATACCCAACTGGACAATAATGGGAACTGCCTGTTTCATAGGAAGGTTCCTGCTCTCTGTGTGGAAAGAAAATCTTTTGACCTGACCCGGAGAAGAATGTACAGAAAGGGGAATGTATATGAAAAACTTAAAGAAATTTCAATAATTTATTGTTTAGCAGAGAAAGTTAGGGATGATAATTTTCTTCAAATGAGTAAAAGGATTTTATGTGGAGGATATTATTGGCTTTTGTTTGTTTACTGATCCTAGAACAAAAAAAAGGGATTTACTTTGTGGACAGACAGGTTTTCATTTGGATAAGAGGAAACATTTCCTGATAATCATGGTTGTTAAAAAGTTTAAATGATCACTCTAGATAGTGTGCTCTCAAAAACCCCTGATGTTTTAGAAACTTCTATGTTAGATGATGTTCTTAGATAACTTTAAAGGTCCTTAATAGACTATAAAATTATTTTTCAATTATCATTTATCATGGATATGGTATGCAAATACAGTAGCTGGAAGTTCTTAAACACATTGGATTTTAATTGATGGAAAGATTCTATGCCCATTGCTTGATTGATAATAAAAACTATAAGCAAGGTAAGGCTGCTTTTTAAATTTTTAATGAGCTGCTTCCCAGTAATTTTCTTGTTTTTAATGTATTGTATATATTTGAAATGTTTAAGAAATTTAAAATTACTGCAAATATATGAAAATATTCAGGAATTATTTCTCTAGTCTCCTGGCTTTAAATAAGGCTTTACTTTAAGTGTGTCGGTGTAATGAGATCAATTTTATTTTCATAGATTAATCCAAAAGATAATTCTACAACCTCCCATTGTTTCAAAGCAAAATCCTATTGCTACAGTTTGTCAGGTTCTCTCACTTGTAGCTTGTAAATATTTCTCCCTGTCATTTAAAAGACATCTTTAAGGTATCAGCAAATGTGATCACACCCTACTCACTCTGTGTTTTCGAGTCTGGACAGCATAGCTGGTGATGCTATAATAAACATTAAGCCTGAGTAAATGGGAAATGTTTCTTTTTCTTTCTTTAACTTTCCTAACTTAAGTGAGTGAAAAATTATGCTTAATTATTTTTCTTTAGAATGAAAAATAAAGAGAAATTATTTCACTCATGTAAAAGGGAACCCGTGATTTAAAATGTCTTTCTGAATTATTTTTAAATTTTGCAGATGTGGCAAAAATATGCAAGCAAACTGTGTCTCTATTTTATAACAGTACCAATTCACGGCAGCAGTTCTTGACATTTATCTAAACTAAAGGAATGTGTATCAGGTCTAATTAGTTTTGCGTTGTTAAAGATATGGGAGTTATTTATTTGAGTAAAATGTATTGTTGGAGGTACTAAGCTATTATGAAAAAGTTCTGCCCTTGGCAGTAATTACCTCTGCTTCTAAAATAAAGAAAGAAACAGAACAATTATTTTCCAAATATATATTACTTGAACTTTCTTTATAAAATACCTAATGTTTCAGCATTAAAAACAGATAATTTGATTATGACTTATAGATAGAATTATAAAGTTTTCTCTGTTCTCAGTTTATTCACATGTTTTTTATCATCTCAGTTAAAATATGCAAGAATTTAAATGCAACAGCTTTTAATAGCCTTCCTACTCAATTTATGTTCATGGAACAGTGGCACCTATTTGTCAGCTCCCTGACAAATAGCATCATAATCTGTATTTTTACCAGATCTTAGGGTGATGTGTATACTTTTTCAAGTATCAGAAGCATGGATTTAACAGAATATCATTGGCAGCTTGAACATTTTAAAAATTAATCTGATGATGAAGTTATGGGATTTAACACTTCTTTATCTTTGATTAAAATGCTCATTTTGATTTCTTTGTAGGCTTAGCAGCTAAGATTTATAGTATTTTTAAACTCATTACATATATAGTTATCTAACCTGTCGTCTGCTAGCAAACGTAGATTCATTGAAAAGTGTATTATAATTTTATAACTATTATTCATTGTAGCTCTGTAGTAGAGATTTGAAGATTCTATTGTTCTTAAATTATTCATGATTATACTTAAAATGCTAACAAATATTCATTCATGGACAGTGCAAGCCATATATCCAAATATTAATGTGTTCTTTATGATAAAAGAAGGGTCATTAGGTCAAATCGTATTACTTTTTCTGTTTCATTTTGTGTTTCCTTATTTTTATTTATTCCATGTTTTCTTTTTTTTGTTTTAGTTGGGTCTGGTAAGTTGACATTTTATTGGCCATCTTCTAATCACCGTGTCACTGTGACTGGAACTTCTCTTCCCCTTTCCATCCATACCCTTCCATGTCCTTCAACCAATCAGCCTCCATGTTTCACTTGTCATTGGCCACAAAGACAGACTGCACAGAATAAAGTCTGCAGGAAGTATGGGTAACTGTGACAAAGAGTAAAGGTAATGGGGTTGCTAACTTTATGTCTTTTTAAATGCTGTTTGATCTGCATCCTCTTATTCCTTCTCTCCTGAAATAAGTGATAGGATTGAATCTTGGTTAAGTACTATTTCAATTTATTTCTCATATGATTAAGCAAACAAAAATAAATGCCCAGAAAACAATTTGAATTTTTTTTTTGTTAAAAATATGTTTATGATTTCATGTCTGTCTAACTGAGTTTTTATAACTATTGTTTAAAAATAGTCATTGAAAGTCCCGTTGCCTTGCACTTAGGGATGTTTGCAGTCATTTTCATTTCTGTGTGTCACATTCATTTCATTTTATGGAAGACACATGATGTGTCCAAAGTTTATCAAAATGTACTTTGATAAATGTTTGTTCCCGTGTAAATAAAGAGTCATCAGGTTTCTAAGCACTCACCTTGAGGGAAGTTTCATTCATTCTATAAGATTGCTAGAATCCCATTTTTAGAAAACTTTACCTGAGTACACTAAAGGTATACCAGGGAATAATTTTGACTCTACAATAATCTCCCTCACTATTCTTTAAGTTAAAAAGCTATACAAATATTATAAAAGGGACATTCTTATTAATAAAAATAGGATGGATTGTTCAATAATCATGATGCAATAACGATATTTTTTAAAAATAGCATTCTCTGTGATATCCTACATACAAAAATATAGATGTTAAAAGGGACATTCTTATTAATAAAAATAGGATGGATTGTTCAATAATCATGATGCAATAACTGGATATTTTTTAAAAATAGCATTCTCTGTGATATCCTACATACAAAAATATAGATGGATCAAAATTTAAACATAAAAATAATAAAGACATATAAGTACAGAATGAAAGTGGAGTTGAATATTTACATGATATAATTTATTATGTATTTGTAATCTATATTATATAATTTTATTGATACAATAACGAAAATGCCTAGACAGATTAGAAAGACTATAGTATTAACAAAATGGCAAAATATATTTACAGCATATATGGGAAATGTATAAAATTGTAGCTTATAAACAGTTTTTAGAAATTAAAAACTATATAAACATATGAACATAATATCTACAACAAATAGGAAATCAATGATAAGGTAATATGAGGAAAAGTATTTAACTTCAGTAATATAAAATGTTAAATTAAGAAGAGAATAGATTCAGTTCTATTCTGGCAAAGATGTTAATGCTCAGTGTTTGTGAGGTTTGGGAGAAAAGGCAATTTGTGTTCTGTTAGCGAAAGTATCAGTTGATAAAAAAATTCCTGAGCACAATTTAACTGTACTTGCCAATATGCTCTAGATATTTGCATATGTTCGGAGCCTGTAATTTTACTAGAAAATAATCTTGAATATGCTTGTGAGAAGGATGTTAATGTTAGCACTGTTTTTAATAGTGAAAATGAGAAACAAACTAAATTTAAAACAATAGAGATTGGTTAAATAATTTAAGGTAATTTGCATATTGATTATTAAAGTCATTAAAGAGATAATGTAAGAAAATATTTGAAAGCAGTATCATCCAATTTGCATGGTAAAATTATGAGTCGCTTTTCTTTTTTTTCCTTTGTCCGATTTTCCAAATTTTCAATACTAAACTTATGTGACATTGGTAACATGATTATGTATTTTTGATTATGGCAAGTTTAAATATTGTAGCTTTCAAAAAATATTCCAATGTTTTATTGTAAACTTTGAGTAAGTGTATATGATGAGTGGCCTTCTCAATGTAAACAGATAGGTAATGATAGGTTGATAGATTGAAGCATATTTAGTTCATTCATTTTTTTCTTAGAGATACATTTACATCTGATATTTAACATACATATAGAAAAGGATTTTTTTAAGTTATATTTGTAAGACATATCTTGTGGCTGATGTCACTGTTGATGCTGGCATGAGAATATGCCTACCAAATATAGTAAATTCATTTCCAGGCAAATATCCTGTGTGGAAGGATTGCTTCAAGATAAATGTAGTTAGCATAAGGATTTCTATTCCTTATTCCCAACTAAGTCTTTGAGGTTTGAGGAGAACTGCCATTTTATAAAAGAAATGTAGATTCTGGCACACATTCTTAGACATGTTTCTGAGATTTAGGAAAGAGACCACCCGAAGTTTTTACTTGACTAAGTGGTTTGAACATTTATATTTTCCTACTCAAATTCCCTGCAATATTGAAAAGTCATATTTTCCCACTCAATTTTTTTTTTGTTGTTGTTGCTGTTTTGTTTTGTTTTTTCTAAACGATGACTGGTAAAGGGATCCCAGTTGACTTGGTGTTGTCAGCCCCACACTCTCCCAAGTGAGCCAACAGGCCAGCCCATCATTCACTTCAATTTGAACTGAGACAAGAGAGGAGAATAATTAGGTGTTTCAGACAACTGATAAGAAATGAATTTGAAAAGTGTAAACAGCAGGCAAAAAGATTTACATTCAGTGCATATTTTTCCAAGCACAAGACTCAGTCCAAAAATGAGCATCTTTATTTCCAGGGATGACCCATCAGCCCATCTCAAGCCTTCAGCTGCCATTGCTCTCAATGTAACTGACACAATTTTCTGACACTCTATTTACTGCTGGATGAAGTGGCCGTTGAAGTCTGTATGAATCAAATAGTTTGGACAAAGCTGGCAGTATTTATAATGTCAGGATGAGCAGATGTTTCAAATTTGCCCTCATTTCCATATATATTCTGTTTAAACATGCCCTTGCCTATGTAAATGAAGGAAGCCTTCTACTCCACTATTGCTTTAAATTCATTTCTATTCAAGTAATTGGACTGAAGATTTTAAATGCTGATAATTTGCATGGTAGCATTTCAGGAGCTTCTGAGTTAAAGTAATTTTAGGGCCTGCCTACATCAGGGGGTCCTTTCATGCATGATTAAAGTTCATTCACCTTTAAGCCACTCTAAATGAGAAAATATAATATTTATTCATAAAAATTTCAGGTACGCTTTGACTGTGAAGGGTCAAATTGTAGCTCAAGAATTCTCTTAAATATGAAAGTTAATGATAGAAGGTCAGGTAGTAAAAAACCTCTTCATAAAACAACTCTATTTCATTTTATAAATATCAACTTAGTAATTTATCTTCAAATCGATGATGACAATTGGTACATTATTACTGTTGTACATAACGTATCATATAAAATAAAGGCAGCATTTGAAATATCAGGAAATTGTCTCAATTAGAACAATAACTACATGCTTTTGATTCAGTGTAAATTGTTTCATCTCCTTTAGAACCCCCACATTTTGTTGTGAAACCCCGTGACCAAGTTGTTGCCTTGGGACGGACTGTAACTTTTCAGTGTGAAGCAACTGGAAACCCTCAACCCGCTATTTTTTGGAGGAGAGAGGGGAGTCAGGTATGACATTTTTCTGATTTTTTAACCAGTGAACATGGGTGCCATGTATGTAAGAAGAAAAATCAAAGTATTACTGAGTCATACAGCTGTCACATTAAGAGAACTGAGAAATCTCTGCGTGCTCTACAAGATTTCAGCAATGAGAGAGAAGACAAAATTGTCTTCATTGTCTTACTTCTCAAAGCATTTTTCCTGCCTACTTTTGGTACACAGCAGGGGAGAGAGAATAGACAGTGTTTTGTCACATAAATTTGATCTTTACTTCCAATTCAGCCACTTTTTTAAAAGTGGAAGTGGAAACTACTCTTTTTTTCCTCAACATAATTCAGTTAATTATCATTTCTATGATTCAGATATCTGGAATTATATATTAATAGAGATTTACATACATTTAAAGCAGGGATGATAATTATTCAGTGTGATTTCTCTGAAAGTTACAGGGATCTGAAATACCTTCAGAATCAAAAAATTATATGACATTCTTTTTAACATAGATGTTGTGTTAAATATACTTCAATATATTCTAATTCTTTGAAAACCTATCATATATAATCATCATTTGCTATCAAATCCTACTCTCCTGCTCTCTTTGGATTTTATAAACCAGAATTTTGTATATACATCGAAACTAGAATATAGAAATTTATACTAAAATAGTTTAAAATGCCTTTTTGTTTAATCTCTTAATGATTTGCCTTCTTCAATAGGGCAAAACATTTTCTTTTACTTGTTTCTGACACTTGTAAAAAAATTATTCTCATTCGTTTTAAGCACAGTTACAACTGACCTCTTTTGTTTTTGCTTAAATCACTTGGGTGGTTTGATTCCTGATCTTGCTTCTGATGTGCTCTTATAAATATAACAAGCGGGTAATTTACTCACTACACAATAATCTTTTGAAGGCAGTGCCATCAAGTTCATTTTTATTTTCACTTTGGTAGGCAAATATTGACTTGATTATGGTTTGTAGACTCTCATTTTAGTTGTAGTATCTTGGTGGATTCTAACACGTTCCATTTGGCCTCAAAGGACTAAATTTGCTGACAGTAAATTAAAAACAAGAAAAAGCAAAATATTTTAATACAGCAGGAAGAATTGGGAGTGCATTATAGAAGAAAATCTGTATAGCAGTAATAGTAAATCCATGAGAACTTCTTAATACAGTAATATTTAGATGATACATTTAAGTTATTTAATCTCTAAATCAAATTTCCAAATAATTTTGGTTTTGTTTTATTTAATGATGCAACTCATTTTTTCCTAAAATTTATCACTGGACATATATCCATGGAATAGGAGTTAAATCTTTATTAAATGATGTATGTTAAAAAGCACTAAAACTTTTAAAAGTTTTTGGTCTGAAAAAAAGTTGGTATTTTTTATTTAGTGAAATACAATGACATGATGCATTATTTTGTGTGAAATACACACTCCTTCTAGCAAACTTAGTCTTTTGATTAAATTCAGTATATTAATTAAAAATATCTATAACAGATATTCTCAACATTTAATAGGAGAAACATATAGAACTGTTAAAGTTGGTTTGAATTACTGTGTATTTATAATGGAAGGCTAACAGAGAGATACTGGTTGTGATGCCAAAATGGTATCCTTGAACTTAGTTTGCTAGAGTTTGTTTAAATTTTAATTTTGTTTATGTACTAAAGGTCTTAGTGTTTATAATTCTAATAGTCATATACAGTTGACCCTTGAACAAGGATGGGTTAGGGGCGCCAATCCTCTGTGAGTTGAAAATCCAGGTATAACTGTCGACTCCCAAAAACTTAACTACAAATAGCCTAATGTTGACTAGAAGCCTTACAGATAACATAAACAGTCAATTAACATGAATTTTGCATGTTACATACATTGCATACTGTATTGTCAGGTAAATGAATCCAGCGTACGGACCATCAGACAGCTTCACCAATTTCCTTTTCTTTCTTTTCAATGGTCCGTACTCTGAATTCATTTATCTTGAAATAATGGGCAACCACAGCTACAGACCCCAATATATCAAGCAGTTCAACTTCTTATAATGTCGCTGACTCTTCTCTGCTCTTTGGGAGCACTTCCAGGATTACTAGTGGCCTTCAGTATGGATTCAAGTTTTACGGTATTGTACTATACACAATGACCATGAGTGATGACTTTATACTGTGATACCAATTTGCTGGATACCCAATATATATGTTTACTTTATATATTTTATATAACATATTTATTTTATGTATTTGCTTTATACCCAATTTACTGGAGAGAGGAACTTCTTACATGGAGATATTAGCATCACACCTTTTAAGTGGATACTTGCAACGCTTGAGCTCACCACAGTAGCAATAGGAGATGGCAACTAAATTATTGCGGTTGTACAGTATTGTTACAGTTAGTTTAATGCAGTTATGATTTAATACTGCATCTTTATGTTTGTTTACATTTCTATCCACTGCAAATGGCACCATGTGTGGCCTGTAAGTGCTTGTATGCATAAGTTCTGATGAATTTTAACTTTTTATAATAGATTTGTGTATATTTTATGTAGTAAATGACAAAATAGACTAGTATCTACATATATTTTATGTATTCATGACATACCTAACCTTTTCATAATTTTTTGTGTTTCATAATTTTTTTGATATTTCAAGCCTACATAGTTTGTCTGCAAGTTTTTTCAAATTATCTCAAATCTCCAAAAATATTTCCAAAATACATTGAAAAAATCCAGATATGTAGACCCACACAGCTCCAACCCGTGTTGTTCAAGGGTCACCTGTATATGTGAAGCAAGGCTTTTGTCTTCAGTTGAACATGTAAAACTTTTTACTGTAATGATACCTAATATCCTTATATATCTAGTATTGTTTGAAAACTAATAGTTATAAAAATATATATCAATACTGAGAATTTATTTAAATTTTCAAATGACCTTATCTAAGGTTACATTATTAAACTCGGTGTGTGTGTGTTTATATTTTTGTGTGTGCATATCTATATATGTGGGAATGTGATGAAATAATATTTAGCTTATTTATGTGTGTTTGTGCATATATACACACACACATATCTATGTATATGTGTGTATACTTTTATATGTGCTTTCTAATTGTACGTGTGTATATGCCAAAATATTGGAACCTAGCAATTAACCTAATTTTATTCTTTCCTCCTAAATTCTGGATTCTAGAATCTGCTTTTCTCATATCAGCCACCACAGTCATCCAGCCGATTTTCAGTTTCCCAGACTGGTGACCTCACTATTACTAATGTCCAGCGATCTGATGTTGGTTATTATATCTGCCAGACTTTAAATGTTGCCGGAAGTATCATCACAAAAGCGTATTTGGAAGTTACGGATGGTAAAGTAAAGCATTTTATTTCAAAGAGTCCAACTTGGGCTTCAAGAGAGTGCCAGTAGATGTATTAATTTTCAATTGTATATTTCTTACATATCTTTCTTTTCTTCCATATCTTTATTTTGGTAGTATTTGGAAGTTACGGATGGTAAAGTAAAGCATTTTATTTCAAAGAGTCCAACTTGGGCTTAAAGAGAGTGCCAGTAGATGTATTAATTTTCAATTGTATATTTCTTACATATCTTTCTTTTCTTCCATATCTTTATTTTGGTGTAAAGCCAAAGAAGATGTTGATGCAATGATAAGTTCAAAATTATTTTTACTTTAACTTAAATGTACTATAAATTTCTAACGTCAAGTCAGGTTCATAAAAGCATAGCGATTATCCAAGGAGAAGCTTATACTGAATAGCTGTACGTAGGAATGTTTCCAAGTTTTGGAAAATATAAAGGTATTTTATACTCTCTTGATGTAAATTACTATCTCTTCTCTTTTCCATAAGTTAAGGAGGTAAGATTTTTCATATATCCAAAATCTAACAACTCGCAGCTCAAAAATAAACAAGTTTTTCTTAGTAATGTGGTATATCCTATTTACAGTTCCCCTAAACATGATCAATTAATGCCAAATAAATTATAAACACTGAATAATTAAGAAAATCTCCAAGCCACAGTTGGAGAGTAGTGATAATTTGAAAAGAAGATGAAGGAGGAGGAGGAGAGGAAAAAATATATATAAATATATGAACTAAATACGCATATACACAAAAGTATATATTTCAAATATGTATATATTTATTATATAGATATTCAAAATATTCTACCTATTTATATGTATACATACATATAAATAGGTAAAATATTTACATATGTGCATATAATATACATAATGTATATATTGCTGAGTGTATATGTGTGTATAATCCAGAAAGTATTATGAGTAATGAGTTCTTGCAAATTAAATATAGAGCTAAAGCATAATAGTGTTCAGGGGTTTTTACTGCCAAAACCAAATTGATTGCAGTGATCAAAATTATTTTTTTCTCAATTTCAAAACATAGATGAAAGAACATGTAAATAAAGAAACATTCTCTCTCTCAAGGAGGAAGATAGCACAAGAATGAGAGAAACAGAAATGAAAGATGATTATGCATTTCGGAAAACATAGTAAGACTTGATCTTGAGGAAGTAATACATGCAAAAATTTAGCTGTTTTAATGCAGTATGCTTGATTAAAAAGAAACTTTGGATTTTGACTTATTCAATATAATAGAGTTGTTTCTTTAATTAGAAACTATGAAGTCCACTTTGACTTCTCATTCTTCCTTCTCTCTCTGTCATTCAGTAATCTTTTGAATCCATCAAATTGTCTTCATCTCTGTTACAACTCCCAGAATAGTCTACTAATTCTATCCTGGTTTCTTGTCTCCTCTCACACCAAATTATATTCCCATATTGTTGCATGAATTTTTTTTCTCTAGATCCTCTTTTCTCCCCCATCATGTAAATTGAGGTATAAAATACATACAAAGCAAGTAGAGTAAACTAATACTGCTTGATAAATTTTTTCATGTAATGATTACTTAGATCAAGATATGGAACATTTCCAGGACCATAAAAGACTTCCACCAATTTCTTCCCAGTCAGTAAGCCTCTCTCTGGCACAGATAATTACTTTACTGTCTTTCTTCATCATTGATTAGTTTTGCTTGTTCTAGAAACTCAGTTAAACGAAATCAGATAGTAGGTAAATAATATTTTGTATGACATCCTTAGTTCAAGTAATGTCAGTGAAAATAACCCATGCGTATATTAGTAGGGTTTTTTTTTTCTTTTTTGTTGCTGTGTAGTATTCCATTCTGTAAATAGACCATAATTTACTTACGTACTCTCCTATTAATGGATTATTTTCCATTTCAGGCTCTTACTAATAAAGCTAAATATCCCTGTACATGTCTATTGTTGTGCATGCTCACTCAGTTCTCTTGGTTTGCCCTTTGGTGGACATATGTACTAGTTTCTCTTCTTTTCATTTTCTCATATATTCTAGATACAAGCTTTTGTGAGATATATGTATTGTAATTATTTTGTCCCAACCATCCTCTTAATGATGATTTTAAAGATTAACTAAATAATTTTAATAAGGACCAGTGTACTATTTTTCTTTCATGGTTCATATTTTTGATGTCCTGTCCTACTTTGAGGCACAAAGATGTTCTCCTATGTCTTTTTCTGGAAGTTTTATTATTTATACCTTTGAGATTCAAGTTTTTGATTCATCTTGAATTAATTTTTGTGTATGGTGTGAGCTGAGGGTCAAAATTCTTTTTATGTTCCTCATATGGAAACTAATTGTTTCAGCATCATTTATTGAAAATACCATCTTTTCCCTATTGAATTGCAGTGACATTTTATCATAATTCAAGTGAACATAGGTGAGTGGGCCTACTTATGCTCTTTCTGTTATGTTCCAGTAGTCTATTTATGTCAGTTCGTATGATCTTAATTATTGTAGCTCTGTAGTAAGTCTTAAAAGCATGTAGTGTATGCCTCCAACTTTGTTTTTCTTATTTTGTGATGGCTGTTGGAGATCTCTACATTTCCTTATAACTTTTAAAGTCAACTTGTCAAAATTACACACACACAGTCACCCTAAACAAAAAAATCTGAGTTTTTAATTTTGATTTTATTTAAATTATTGGATAATTTGAGGGGAATTGACATCTTAACACTCTGATTCAATTCAGGGAAAAGGTGGGTATACATTTCATGTATATGTCTCAGTTTATTTAGGTCTTCTTTAATTTCTCTGATATGTTTTGTAGTTTCTAGGATAGTGGTCTTAAAATTCTACATTCTACTTTTTCTACATATTGTTATAGTAATCATTATCAAATTCATTATGTGGTCTTCACAACCATGATTTAAAGACTATAATGTATGTAAGACACTGTAAAAACATTTTACATTATTTTAACTTATTGGAGTACAATAATATATATATAATAATAATATAATATATATCATAGACAAGGTTTAGGCTTTTGATTGAGACAGTTCTAATATTGAATTTGAATCTACATATTTTGGTAAATTTATACCTAAGATATTTTATGATTTTTGATATAACTGTATATGTGTATATATATATATATATATATATATTTTTTTTTTTTTGA